AATAATAAATTGATTCGTTGGTTGTCGAGTGTTAATAAATGTTTAGTTCATATTCTTAATTGTGGATTGTTATCTATAGAGTGTTGGTGTTATAATTTGTTGATTTTGTTAGGTAAAAGTTTTCAATTATAAATAAATTTAAAAATTTTAATTAATTTCAAGTTGTAAGAAAATTAGAGAAAGCGGCCCTAATTAAAAATGTAAAAAAGGTTCCATGGAAAAGTTTGTTTGTGTGAAGAAGTCAAATCTTGAATATCCTCCTCAAGATAAAACTAAGAGGAGAAGAATAATTTAGCTACCGAAAATGAAATGGTTCCTAATGATCATGTCACAAGAGGAGTGAACTTAGGTTAGGAGTTGATAATATTGAATTCTTGATAGTGAGCACTTGAAGCTATGTTTTTTTGTTTTTGTTTTATAACCGTGATTCTACCATGTTTAATTTAACCGTGAAGCTATGGACTGGACCTGTGAATTGATGTGGCATTTGAATATACAACAACATCCGAGCCTTATTCCCAAAAAATTTGGGATATGGCATTTGATTACTCCCTCCGTCCCTGAAAATACTTCCAACTTTCTCTTTTCGTTCGTCCCAAAAAGAACTTCCCTTTCCCTTTTTGTCAAAGAATTTGTTGTTCACAACATTTCTCTCTCCTCTGCACAACTCTCCACCACACAATTCCCACTTTCTTAATCCACGTGCCACTTTATTTTGGAAGTAAATTATGGGACGGAGGTAGTACAATTTTTTTAAATTAAATTTTTTAGGGAAAATTAAATATTGTTATCTCTGAATTTTTAATTATTTTTGTTATTAAATATGTCAGTGTGTATTTTTGTTATTCGTTTAAAATGTCCATAGAATCCGTTTACAATACACTAATGTTGTAGGAAATCACATTATTTTTTATTTCTTCATGTAATTTGAATAGTTTTACTTCCATTTACATGCAGCTTTCTCAGGACTTGGTGTTCGTGAACCAATGGTCATGATGTGGTGTGACAACTGCGGGAGAAGTGTCTGCACTGATAATTCTGACTACAGAAAGTTTGTCCCTTATCTCTCTATATCCGCATTTTCTTTGTCCAGTGCTTGGTGCTATATTTATCGCCTTTGTTTTTTATGGATTATCTGACAGATGCTGTACGTTGTGTGGGAAAGTTCTTAGCGAAGACCATTTCGTAGAGGAAGCTATTGTCAAAAATGATGTCGGGCAGGTTTTGCTCTTCTCCTTTGGTGTAGGATCTTAAGTGTAGAATGGGTGCATTTTATTTGACTCACAGCAATTTGCTGCTTTAAGATTGGTTGTAGTTTAGTTGACTCACAACAAGTTTTTGTAACACTTCATGGTTTGAACTAAAGATTCCTAAATCATGAATTCAAAATAAAGAATGATAATCTTATTATAACTGACTATTTGTGGGCAAACACTTGTGTTTTGGGGATGGTATATTGGTATTTTATCTTTACAGTGTACACATATCTAATATCTTGCCGTACAACATCAAACATGAAGTATTTTAGCTGAGATACATATTTTCTCTACGAAATGACAATGTGAAAACCCTTTAGTAAAACTGAAACGGTGCAAAGTTAACATTATTCAGAACAGATAGGGGCATTCCTCAACATAGGTAGGAGGAGCAGGCATTTGATTTATTGTTTCAATTCAACAGTTAGTTGTGTGCGTGTGCATAAGGGTAAACATGCATGCATGCACTTCTAGAACTAACTTGCAATTATTTTTAGAGTCAATTGGCAGGGAGTAGTTGTGTAAGGTCTATGCAAAGTCAATTCTCACCTTCACGGGCTGGAACACTGAAGGAAGGTATTATATTTAACATGCTTGTTTGTCATAATTCGATGATCAAATTTCCTTTTGGTGTGTAATTTTCAGAGCATGTGTATTCTCATTGTGATCACCACAAAGTCGCAAATCTTGTTGTTGGTAGGAAATAAGCTTAGAGAGAGAAAGCAGTGGCGATTCAGTATAGTGAAAATAGCGTAGTGAATACAAGGGTTGATTGCCTATATATAGGTGTTTACAACAAGTCCACTATTTAAATGCTATTTGGTTTGAGCCATTCAAATAATCATGGACCAATTTCCGCTAGCAGGACTATGTTCTAGGCCCAATAAGGCTCACACTTAGGTATAACAAACCGATAGTATTGGACCCGTCCCATTATCCTAACACAAGTCACCCACTCCCTTAGTTGAGTAGTAGACTCGGCTAAAAGTGAGTAGTTGTGTTGCTTTGGAATCGGCCCAATTGCTGGTCGGGCTGGCTGATCATTAACGAGCTTTGAGTTTGATCCCCACCGCTCATCAAAGGATGGGGTTTTCCTTGTCCGGTTAGTAGCTCGAGGTCTTTCTTGTTCAGTCAGCAGTCTGGGGTCTTCCTTGTCCGGTCAGTGGCCCGGGGTCTTCCTTGATTCAACCGAGAGACCTCTTCTTTTGTTCATGATCAAGGTTATCAATATCGCGATTAAGACCATTAACTCGTACGATGTTACGACTTAAGCTTGTAAGGTCGAGCTGGATCGTGCCTTTCATTTTCATTTTCATTTTCATTTACCCCAGTGCCGCAAAGGCTCCCATCTACAGTGGGGTAAGGGGGGTCGGATGTACGCAGTCTTACCCATGTACTAAAGCACAGAGAGACTGTTTCCGAATGACCCATAGTGAAAATCTTGTCCAAAATTGCATGGACTGATTGTTGCTTCATAACAAAGAAGCGCAGACAGTTTAGTGAGCCATTTTGCTTTATTCCATCGTAATCTCAAGCCAAAAAATAATGAATCTTTGGCTCCATTGCAAATGACGGACGGGTAAACTCGTAAGATTGTAGGATCACCATTCTTCGTCGTTCACGCATGTAGGGAAAGAATACTACTCTACTGATCGGAATTCCGAAGTGACTTTCAGAGTCAGAAATGGGAAACGACACAAGTTTTCAATTTTTTTAAAACGACAGAAATGTGTGTGTGCGCACGTGCATGGTAGCTTTGCTTCTAGGATCTTACGATCCACGAGTTACGATCTCCTGGACCCCTTATGATCCGAGCTAGGATCTCGAGTTTAACAACCTTGTTCATGATGACCGGGTGTCTCGTTAAAACCTTATAGGAAAATACCTTGTGGAAAAAAAATTCTTGCAAATGAAAATGTGTATACCAGTGTCTCAAAATAAAGCAAAAGAAGGTGAGCCCCATAAGTTCTTGGTCTAGGATTCGCTTTGATCCCCGCTTCTTGCGAAAGGGCGGGGGATCAGCAAGTCGGGGGGTCCAGGGGGCGACGCGTCCCTGGGGCCGCAGACACCTCGACCCGACAGTGCAATGTTTTTTATCACTTTTATCGATCCGGGTATGTGATCTTGAATTCAATTATATTTCATTAAGCATTCAATTATATTTCACTAAAGGCTTCACGATTTAGCTTTTTTTAGAGTTTAATTAGTCTAGGTCAGCCTTCTCTTCATAATTTTAAATAGCTCAGAGCTATGTTTTAATTTTCTATTATAAATACTTCTTTAATTCCCAAGTACACATGCAACTAATTGAAAACCTAGTTGTACCATCGCACATTCGGCCTTCGTCTCCAGCCCCATGGCGCCGTCGCTTCCGCACAACTCAAATTGCCCGAAGAGACCCAACAATTCACCATCTGCATCGCCTTAGAGAAGGAACATAGCTGCGAGCAGATCATCGCTGCAGCCACATCATTCGAGTCATCGGAGAAGACCCAACAAGGCGTATGAGTTTAAGCAAAGCTGATTTGAGTCCCGTAAAGACACCACTCTCGAGATTTACCGGGGATTCAATCAAATCAGAGGGTAGTGCGGTACTACTCGTGATGGTGGGCTCCATGCCCTATGCGGCCAAGTTAAATGTCGAGTTCGTAGTACGCTTAACTTGCGCACATAAGATCATGATGGGGAGGCCCGCGTTGAAAGATCTCAAGTGCATTATCTCTCAAGAGCATTTATGTATGAAGTCCCCAACTCCAAACAGAGTCAGGGTGGCCCGGGGATATCAAAAGATGACATTGAGTTGTTACATCAACACGTACACACAGCTCGGGAAGAGGGATCTCAGGGTCCCTACCATCAACTATAAGGCCACGAAGTACGAGAAGGGTTAGTTCTGCGCTGAATCCACTTTGGAAGACCCCAAGCGGCTGGAATAGAAGATCCAGATCGGTGTAGGGCTCCCGACCAAGCCAAGAGAGACCCAAAGATATGTCGGGGTTACACCAGAATGTGGTAGTAGATAGGCTGGCTTCTGATCCAACGGTGAAGTCGGTCCAACAAAAGAGAATACACCTATCAATGGAAAGAAGTATTGTACCCAGAATGGTTAGCGAATGTGGTTCTAGCAACGAAGTCGCTGACTTGGAGGATGTGTGTTCATTACACAGATCTCAATAACACGTGCCTAATGGACCTCTTCCCTTTGCCTAACGTCGGCTAACTAATTGACGAGATGGCCGAGTGCGAGCTCCTTAGTTTTATGAATGCATTCAGGAGATATCATAAGATAATCATACACGAATATGATGCATAGAAGACCTCATTCATCACTCGGGCGGAATTCTCTGCTACCTAGTCATGGATTTTGGTTTGAAGAATTTTGTGGCAAAATACACGGGGATGGTGGCAAATGTGTTCTTGACTGTGCGCAGGAGGAAAATGGAGGCGTATGTCAACGACATGATCGTCAAAAGCGTACGAGCTAATCTCGAATGAGATTAAGAGTCAATGGTTCTCAATGTCAGTTGTAAAGGCATGTGTGAGAGGTAGGATTACCCAATCTCCAGATGTCCTCTGTGAACAGCCACAACCTTCCAGCGGGTGTGAGAGGCCTAAGCTCAAAGCTAGGTTTGGACTCGCCCTTTGAGGAGCTCGTACGTGAACCATGCACTGTCATTCATGTGCAACCTCAACTTGGCGATAGCACCGCACGAGCCTAGGTAGGAGATGAAGATGTGTGGCTCGAAATGGATTGTAAGGTGATGATTACCGTCTTACTGATCCCCATCATGACCATGTGTTTGGTCAAATTCCAGGCCAGCCGCAAGAGAGTTTGATTCGGTACTACGTCATCTAGAGGAGATCCAGGAACTTTATGATGATAGCAATGATTATAGTATCTCAAGACAACAACTTATCACGTCCTCAAAATCAAGTGGAGCCCCAAAAGGTCACCTCCGCCTTTGTCTTCGTGATAGCCCTTTTCAGCCTTCTAATCCTACCACACTTCAAGTTGATGAAGTCTCTCAGTCATATAGTGTCAATGACCCCAACTTTTGGAGAGTGGCACGTGGGACGCCTGCATCGTACCTGCACAACAAAAGACTTGAAGTTGATGGAGCGTCTAATCAGTCGTGATTGCACCCTTGTACTTCTGGAGTGCAGTAATAATCTCACCAATCCTCCTTCGAACCAGTTCTTCGGTGCTCACATCGCGTCCATAAAGTTGGGCATTCAGGTGTCGTTGTGTCCCTTCCTAGTAGTGCTCCTCAGGATATCGTTGAGTCAGATGACTCAGTTGCCCTCATGTTTGTTTCCGCATTGTGGCCCGGTGTGAGATGGTGTCCATCCTAGTCGCAAATCGGGTGATGGTGGATATTATCGTTCTACCAATCACGGCGACGCACGGTGTTTGAGCAGTACCCTGACAAGACTAGGAAGTGGTAGAGCAAATGGGTTTGGGCTCTGGTCCCACATTCACTCTGGGCACTTGGGTGCGCAAGTACCAATTTGTTCCCCTCTCTCTCGATCTCGAGGAGATTGATACTTTGTTATGGAGAATCCATTCCCTATTACTTCGCATTTGGGTAGGCCTCTTGCCCCAAAAGATCATCATTTTACTTGATACGATCTCATCTTGTTTATTTTCTTGCATATATGGCAGGTAGGAGAGGTGCATTTGCTTCCCTGGATGCAGCAGAGGATGCTAAATCCCGATTTTCGACGTCTGACGTATGTCCATCTGATGTTAGGGGAAAGCGCGGAGCCTCCCCCTCTCACGAAGTGCAAGTTGAAAAGAAGGTCAAAGGGAGTTTGATCATCAAGTCGGGTAGAGAGAGAGAACCCAACCAGCAAAAGCCTAGCTCGCCTTGTGCTCCTCCCGCCAGTCATCGAGCCCTTGTTCCCAGTATTCCATCGATCACGGAGGTGGCACGACTAGCAGACATTGTTCCATCCTTGGTATCGTCCGATAACTGGGAGTACCTAGCAGCCACCGGTTTCCTACCAATTGTGGAGCGCTCCATTACGGCTCATACAGAAGTAAGTTGGTTTTACTTACCAATTAATTTCATTTTAACCTTGCTGCTTTAACACTTTTTTTTGTAGGGTCTGATGAGGCTAATCACCGCACTTCGTATCGTGAATGGTAAGAATGAGGAGTTACAGCGTGAGGTTGACAATGCCTGACATCAGGCAATCCAGGCTGAGAAGCGGGCGTACAAAGCAGAGTTTGTCTTGAAGTTACATGCAGCTCGTCATGAAGCAGACAAAAAGGCGTTGTCCGAGCTTCAATTAAAGTATGAACAACTAAAGGTGTCGTCCAAGGATGCAGGAGATCAAGCAGTTGCAGCCTTCAAGGCCTCCCTAGAGTTTTCGGAGTCAGTCACTTTCAAGATGGATCCTCAGCGCTCAGAACAGATTCGGGCTTGGCTACAGACCAAGGAGGGACTGGATTGGCGCAACAAAGAGATTTTGATCTCCTTTAAATGTGGCCAGTATGATATGCAGAAGATGTTGTATGACAAGCTTACATACCTTTTCCCTGACTTTCACCCCGAGAAGCTTGGTTTACCCGAGATCATGTATGATCCAGATAAGGAGGAGGAGGCGAGCGATGATGATGGCCTTGACACTTGATCTCCTCAACATTTCTTGGACGTTCTTGATGGCTTGGATGGAGTTATACACGACAATGATCTCGGGACCGTTCTCCATGATGTCCCGGAGAAGACGCCCGATCCTTGGATTATAATTTATAACATTTTTGCTTTCCTTCCAAACTTGTGCCTTTGAATTCTCATTCTTTATTCATTGATTATTTTATTGTTTGAGCTTGTATGTGTGCTTTGTTCTTTCTTGTAATTTACTTTGTTGTTTTTCATTCAAGAATACTTGAAAAATCCTTGATTGAGTCCTGCTTGGTAGGGTGGAACTGACTCGTGCATTGCCGATTTAGGATCGGCGGTGTGCAAGTTGTTTAGCCAGCGATAAGACAACTGATGTACGAGAAAGGTTTAGGGCATGACCTCTTGCGTACCTTCAACCTGGAGGTTGGTCTTACACCGCCTTGACTTGTACAATGAGTTTCACACTTAGGAAACAATTTGTTATTCCCTTTCCTTGAAAGTTGATTGAAGTTGGCCAAACGTAAGGGCAAGTTCATGCATGATCATATCATAACAGACCTGCAACGACGCACAACTTACTATATCAAACGAGTATGCAAGCTATTAAGCTTAATCATGGTTTTAAAAGGCATTTCGCTTTTACGCCCCTGAGGCGCAAAGCCGTTTAATCATGGTTTTAAAAGGCTTAATCGCCTGCAAGTCTCAAGCTTTACCTCCCGTTAACAAGGCTTACGCCTTTCTTTTGCTAAGGCGTCGAAGCGGACGGTGGGCGCAAGGTAGACAAGGCGTGCTTCTCTCTTTCTAAGCAAGTTGGGCTTGTTTATTTATTTATTGGGGGTGTTAAGACCCGAGATTCCATCCTAAAAGGTCAACCTAATAGGAGTAGTAGCCCAAAGCCTTATATAGTGTTTATTTGTTTATAGCTTTTCGGTGTGGGACAAATGCTTTTAACACGCCCCCTCAGCCCGAACCAGGCTGGACAATATCGGAGTGTATAAATGGGCCAAACAGACCCTTAAAAAACTACTCTTATTCATGGGTGATAAACAAGCAATCAAATCACAACCGGACTTGGCTCTGATACCATGTTAAGACCCGGGGTTCCATCCTAAAAGGTCAACCTGATAGGAGGAGTAACCCAAAGCCTTATATAGTGTTTAATTGTTTTATAGCTTTCCGGTGTGGGACAAATGCTTTAAGGACTCGTTTTCTTTCATCCTAAATCCAAACTACCTGGTCGCATCGCTCGTTTATCAGTTAGTTGACATCCCTAGTTCCTCGCATATCGTTGTCTTCAACTCTTCTACGATATTAGCAAACAATGATATTCTCAATCGAAGCTGCAGTACAGAGACTTCAGGAACTGCTTCTTGCTTCGTCCAAGTAATTATAAATAATCACACCGCCCACCTTCTATAATTTCTTATGGTTTCTATTGTTTAAGTATTTTTATATAACGTTTTAGTTATTTAAAAATTCATTTTTTGACATATTTAATACCATCATCCGTTTTTTATAACTAATTAAGTGGATTAAAATTTTAGTTAACGCTTTTAGACTTGAGGGAGTACTACTATTTATTCTTTTAGAGTATTAGTCTATGGGAGTACTACTATTAATTCTGCCAGAGTATTAGTCTACAGTCAATCTGATGTTTGTCTGTTTTTCATTTCACATTATTAGTTATTACTTATTACTGTATATATTAGTCTACGGTTTAAACTTTAAAGTTAACAAAGAAAACTATCATTTAGTTTAATAATTTATTTGTTTAATACTCTGTATTTTACTAGTTTGGTTTAAACTTTAAAGTTAACATAGAAAACTATCATTTAGTTTAATAATTTATTTGTTTAATACTCTGTATTTTACTAGTTTGCTTGACTCAAGATTTTCAATTTAATTAGAAATTTTATACGCCCTCCGTCCCTTAAAACTTTGTCAACTTTCCTTTTTTGGATGTCCCAACTTTGCCATTTTCCCTTTTAAGTAAAGAATTTATGGTTCCAGTTAATTCTCTCTCCTCTGCACAAACCTCAACCACACAGTTTTTACTTTATTAATTCCCGTGCCGGTCAAACTTGGCAAAGTTTTAAGGGACGGAGGTAGTATTTAACTTCATTACAATTTGGTTATATACTTATTTCTTTTTTACTTGTGATTATGTTTAGCAACACTATTGTTATGAATCATCTATACCTATTGTTATGCATTTAATTTTGAGGCTTACGCCTCGTGAGGCTACCACTGAACGCCTCGGAGCTCGATTTTACCTTTCAAAACCTTGAGCTTAATAACGTCAGGCCATGAATGTACAAGAGCCGGTCCCATGGTTGCTGCACTGCGGTGTTCTTGAGACCTTTGGGAATTGGGAAGAGACGTGTCCGGCCATTTGTGTCGTAAGAATGGAACATACGGGTGTTTTTATCTTGTATCAAAGAGAAACCCCTTTGGTCCCTTATGTATTATTTAATGTTAAAACATATCCATCATATGTTAACTATACATAAATACAGGGACCAAATCTGTCATATGTCAAATTTAATTGTAAGACATAAATGTCCCCAATATAGCTTAAATTTTATAAATGGTCCAAGGGCACTTAACAATGTTTTTTTAAGTATGTAAGTAAACAAAGGGATGCTACATTTTCTACCTTGGACTATTTAGATCCAATGAGTATGCGAACTATTTAGCTAGCGGTGTGAGACAACGGATATATGAGAAGGGCTCACACGGCCTGTTTATTGATCACTCAGAAATAAATATTTTCCATAATTTGCTTCTTCACTGAAGTTCTTCACTTCTTCCTAGTTAGATATAGTGAGTTATATGTACTCTGTTAAGCACTAAGATACATAAAAATGTTATAGTACATAAAAATGAATAAATCAATCAAATGCAAGAACTTCAGATATGCTCTCTAAAACCCGGACCCGAAAACCCGGACCCTTGAACCCTGAAACCCGGACCCCAGAACCCAGAACCTGGAACCCGGAACCCAAACCTCGAACTCGGACCCCAAACCCCGGAACCCGGAACCCCAGACCCCGGAACCCGAAACCCGGACCCCGGAACCCGAAACCCGGACCTCGGAACCCGGAACCCCGGAACCCGGAACTCGAAACCTGAAACCCCGAATCTCGGAACCCGGATCCTGGAACCCGAAAACCCGGACCCCCGAACCCGGAAACCGGAACCAGGAACCCGGACTCGAAAACCCGGAACCCAGAACCTGGACCTCTGAACCCCAGAACCCGGACCCCGGAAGTCGGAACCCGGACCCTGGAACCCCGAACCTGGACCCTGGACCCCGGACCCCGGACCCCGGAAACCCGGACCCCGGAACCCAGAACCCGGACCCCCGAATCCCGGAACCTGGAACCTAGACCCTAGAACCAAACCCAATCCCCGGACCCCCGAATCCCGGAACCGGACCCCCGGACCCCCGAATCCCGGAACACAAACCCCGGAAACCCAGAACCAGGTCCCAGAATTCCGAAACCAGGCCCCAGAACCTAGAACCCGGAACCCTAACCCTGAACCCAGAACCCGGAACCAGAACCCGGACCTCTCAGACCCCCGAACCCGGAACTCGGAACACGTTACCCCGGAACCCCGAAACCCAGAACCTGGGAACCCCGGAATCCCGGAACCCAGAACCCTGGAACCCGGAACCCGGAACTCGAACCCGGACCCAGGAACCTGGAACGCGGACCCGGACCCCGGAACCCAGACCCTGGTACCCAGGAACCCGGACCCGGGACACCGGAACCCGAACTCGGAACCCCAGAACCCGAAACCCGGACCCCAAAACCAGGACCTCGGACCCCGAACCCCAGACCCCGAATCCCGGACCCCGGAACCCGGAACCCGGACCCCGGAACCTCGGAACCTGGAACACGGAACCCCGGAACCCTGGAATAAAAAACCCAGAACCTGGAACCCCGGAATCCAGAACCCAGAACCACGGAATCCCGGAGGAACCCGTAACCCGGAACCTGGAACCCGGACCCCGGACCCCGGAACCCGGATCCCGGAACCCGGACCCCAGACCCTGGACCCCGGGGTTCCAGGGACCAGGGGTTCCGGGGTCTGGGATCCAGGTTACGAGGTCCGGGGTTTAATATACGAGGTCCGGGGTTCCAGGGACCAGGGGTTCCGGGGTCCGGGTTCCGTGTTTCGAGTTCGGGGTTCGGGGTTCCGAGTTCTAGGTTCTGGGTTCCGTGTTCCGGGTTCCGTGTTTCGGATTCGGGTTTCGGGTTTCGGGGGTTCGGGGTTCGGGGATACCCGAAGCTTGGAAGCTTAAATTAAGAAAACCTTTTTTACCTGCTGGATATAAAATAATTGATATCATACTTTAATTGAAAAGTATTGTCTTTCAAAGCTTAGTTCTCCATTGCAATTCCAAAATTATTTTGTTCTAAAAATTATTAATATGTTGAGATGTGTAATCATGACTTTCCAAAGCGACTCTAGACTTTATTTGATCGATGCGACTGAGACCTCGATCGATCAACAATTCTGACCTGCCAATCTGCGATGCTAGCTTGCATCGCCGTTTGCATCGCGGCTATATTAGCCGCTATAGTTTCCATACTCACCTGCATTCCGCGCTGATTTTTTCTAGCCTCCCTCAACTTTCTCTCCACTTCATTGATTCGTCCTTCCATCTTGGCGCACGCTTACCTCATCCAGCGATCGACGCAGCTCTTATACCAATGATAGAGACCTCCAAAGTATACACAAATTGCAGAAATTATATCAAGAACAATGGAAAATCTTTATTGAAGGAGTAAACACTAACAGTAACAAAGGCCGAAGCCTCCCAAGGAGTGAACCTTTTGAATTGATACATTGTGATGTTTGGGGTCTGTATCGTGTTTTGTCTACACGTGGAGCTTGTTATTTTTTAACTGTGGTGGATGATTTTTCTAGGGTTGTGTGGGTACATTTGATGCGCGACAAAAGTGAAGTAAAAAATATTCTTAAAAACTTTGTCGCCATGACTAAGTGTCAATTTGACAAATGTGAAAATTGTGAGAAGTGACAATGGCAAAGAATTTATTGGTCTCCAAGAATATGTTTTGCTTAATGGGATAATTAGTCAAACTTCTTGTGTATACACCACCCCTCAACGGAATGGGAGGGTAGAACAGAAACATAGGCATATTTTGGAAATGACCAGAACTCTTCGTTTTCATGCAAATTTGCC